CAGTCCTCCAACTCAGTCTGCCAGCTATAAACTGTATGCCAAGGTACGCTGTTTCCAGTTGCTAAAGTTTTCTTCACCAAAACCGGATGGCAGGAGGGTGTCCACGAATGAATCGATGACAGCGATTTAAACGACGTCAAATCGTCCGATCTCATAGCGGAGGAACTAAGCGGCTATGCGTTAAAGGCGACATCTTTAATACATGTGCGCCATTGATTGCGCGATTGTGCTATGTAGTCAGTTACCAATTACTGGCGAACTCCCCATCGTAGTCCCCATAGAAGATGACATCTTTCAACGTTACTGTGTTCACTGGTCAGGGCTACCATACTGCGCGGTTAGAACATAGACTGACCATTCGCGAACTACACCCATTTGTATGAAAACAGACTGGCTATCTTTAGACCTCTTCTACTTTGCATACGGTCGGACGAAAAGAGTCCTGCGGAGCACGCACCCAAACGGGCGTAACTTATGGGTAGTGACCACTTCCTTGATGAATATATTCTTCCAAATCCGTCCAGTTTAGCTGAGTACCACAAAGCTAAGATTGGCATCAGGCCTGGGGTTGCGTCGATCATGACTTCACTATGCAAAAGGTGTTGGGACTGCGCCATATATCATTTCCTCTCCGACCATCTTCATTTTTACGAAATCTGTCACTGAAAAACAAATACTTTGCTGCATTTACTGCTTCACAAGCAGTTTTATGGTGTCGAGGCTTCGCTCACTCACAGGTCAGTTGTGAACAAGTTCTTCTAACGAGACCCATTGCTGAAGTTAGCGAAGCCCCCACCGTTCAGGACGCTGAAGTGCACCTTCAACCTCCGCATAACAAGTTCGTTGCAAAGCGGAAGGACGTTCTATCCATAATTGTCTTTAGAAAGCGTAACCTCTCTAAACTCCCATCGGATCACCAAAGGAACAGGAATATAAGTGGCACTCCAAAATACTTAATCCAATTAAGACAAAATCTTTCTATCATAATTCTACTTCGCGGTTCACTAGACTAGGGATGTGAACGCTGGAATACCCCGGAACTACAGCGCTAAGAATGCCGCGACGAAGACCTGGTATATGCAAACGATATTGTTTTCGTTCGCGAGGAAGAAAAGG